GCTCGGGCATAAGTCCTTATTCCGGAGCACTGTTCCAGAAAAGGGCCAGTGTAGACAGCCCAGTAGTCTTTTCCGTAAAAAAGCCCCAATCGCGAAAATGACGATCGGGGCTTTTTTCCGGAAAAGCATGTCTACATTGGCCACGGACGCTTTTCCGGAAAAAGGGCTTTTCCGGAAAAGCATCCTGCCAATGTAGATGCTCTTTTTCCGGAAATACTTATAACGGAAAACTGTTCCGTTTTAAGCATTTCTGGAAAAAGGTGCCAGTGTAGACACAGCCCAGGAGCTTCTGGGTGTAAGAGGTTGAAAGTTCCTGTGTAAATGGGTTTGATCTCAGAGTGCAATGTAAAGGGTGTACCTGAAAGTTTTCAGAAAGACGTTCATGTGGAGTTGGGGGTCAGGGGTGTCTCAGTGCCCATGGGATTTCTGTGTACGTAATGGGTTTTTAGGGTTTGTCTACAGTGCATAACTATTTTGGAAAATTGGAGGTATCCCAAAATAGCTACCCCACATCTACACAAGCCACCTGTTATTTGAAATATTTTTCAAAATAATAGGCATGCTATTTCACGATCTCAGTAAACCTTGTTGCACGAGGGAATAAGGGATGGCTCGAAATAGTGCATTATTTTGAAATTTGGCGCTATGTACTGTAGCTACATCACATTTTGCAATATTTCAAAATAGTCTCAAAATAAGATGTAGTTTGCATAGCACAAATTCTGTATCTTATTTCAATTTTAGGGTGCTGTGTAGAGGCACCCTATTAGTGTCCATAGTCTCCTCTCCTTCCCCCTGTGTGGGACAAGGATTTCACTGTCCTCTGGTCTCCTGTTTAGAAATGGGTCTCAGTGTTCAGAAGGCCTCTGGTGGACTATCTGACCTGCGTTTGGGGGTGTCTCAGTTTGCACAGGGCCTTTGTGTGAAGGAGGATCTCTGCCCACGGGGCCCCTGTGAGCATGCGGATGGAGGGATGTGTGCGTGTGCGCTGAACGCTCCCGAAGCGAGATAGGCGTGCGGGAAACGAAGCGAGGGGGCCGGGTCTACGGGCAATGGCGCCACCTCGGGGCGGGCTCCGGGTCTCCCGCGTGTGGGGCACCTGCTCGGAGCCGGGTTCCCCTCAGCCAATCCCCGGCTGAGCCGGGAGCCGGGCCAGCTCGCCCCCTTCCCC